CGAGAGTAGCTTTGGCCGCTCGAGCGGACCCTTTTGGTATGCAAAAGTACTGGTTACCTCATTTTTACGCTCGAGCGTGGCTTCGGACGATCGAGCTGAGAGTCAAAACATGTGATTAGACGCTCGAGCGTGACTCCTCCCACTCGAGCGGACATCAATGTCTGTAAAGCTTCTGTGAGCTAACATTTTACGCTTGAGCGGCACTTTCCCCGCTCAAGCGGACTCAACGAATTCTGGAATTTCCAGAATTGTTCTTGAAGCTCAAACTTGATGTTCAAAGGTTCAAAGTTCGTGTTTTTGGTACAAAGTCATGGAAAAACATTACGTAGCATGAGAATATAAGTTATTTAAGACCAATTGTCCAAATTCATGATCTAATTCTCAAATCAATCAACATTTTTCTTGGTATGGTCAAAGCTCATGCATTCAAACTTCATACAAGCTTCATATCTTCACAAATCTTTCATGCTTGTCAATTATTGACTCCAATCCCACTTTAGATGGCACAAATGATGTTCAGAATCATGGAACCTATTAGAATTATGCATGCATGTATGACTTGGTGTGATATTCTTCATGTTTCCATAATCAACTTCAAATTACAACATGAATCTTTTGAATTGAGTTCCATACCATGGAAATTCTTACATGCATGTAGTATATGACTCTCAAATCAACATGAACCACATGTTTCATGCTCATATATGCAAATTCATAACAATTCCTTACATGCATGTATACATTGACTTCAAATTCATTGAACACAAATTAATTCTTGCTCTTGGGCACATATCCAGCTAGAATTCATGCAAGGATGAATTTAAACCCATGAAGTTGAGTTCATTTACTCACCTAGAAGCTCAAATCCTCCAATTCCTAGCTAGTTCTTAAGCCTAGCCTTGAAATTTCCAAGCTTCTTGCTTAATTCTCCAATTTGTGCTCCCTCTCTCTCTACAATCGACTCACTTTCTCTCTAGAGTGCCTATTTCATATTTTTTTGAGCTCCAAGGAAATGAATATAATTGTAATTAGGCCCCTTATATATGTTTGCCTAATCAAATTTGACTGAGGCTAAGTAATTGAGCCTAATTCAATCAGTTAAATCTAATTATTTTGATCCGAATCAATTTTCAATTAAATTTCACCGTAGGCTCTAAAAATTACAGTAATCATAATGGCGTAGTCAATTTCGATTTTTGCGGCCGATAAGGCCTTCAGTTTTCAGTTTATAATAGTAAGTCGTACAGATTTTCATATGGTGAACAGATAGAATACAAAAACACACATAATCATGTAATTATCACTCAAAGCCATATTATGCATATAATCACAATCATAATTAAGATCAATTAGCATAACACAAAACAGGGTTATCACAATCTTCCCCCCTTTAGGAAGTTTGGTCCTCCAAACTTATTTTATCTTTGTCTGGAAACAAATGTGGATAGCGTAGTCACATCTCGTTTTCTTTTTCCCATGTAGCGTCCCTCCCATAGTGTTCTTTCCATTCTACTTTCACCAGCGGGATGGACTTGCTTCTCAACTGTTTCACTTGTCGGTCAATGATTCATTCTGGCCATTCCGCGTATTACATATTTTTATCAAGAACTATCCGGTGATAAGCAATCAGATGGAACGGGTCTCGAAGATAACCCCTCAACATTGATACGTGGAATACATTGTGTATTTTCTCGAATCCCGGTGGCAAGGCGACTCGATAAGCAACTTGACCAAGCCTTTCCAGAATTTAGAACGGCCCGATGTAGCGGGATGATAATTTACCCTTCCTTCCGAACCTTACCTGGCCCTTCATCGGAATCACCCGAATAAATACATGATCACCAACCTCGTACTCAAGAGGTCTTTTTCGAACATCTGCATAATTCTTTTGTAGACTTTGAGCTGTCTTGAGCCTTTGTTGAATAATTTTGATCTTCTCGAAAGTGTCTTGCTCAATTTCAGAGCCAAGTAAAGCCCTATCCCCAACTTCTCTCCAACAAATTAGTGATCTACATCTTCTACCATACAAAGCTTCGTATGGTGCCATACCGATGTTGGAGTGGAAGCTGTTATTGTATGCAAACTCTATTAGTGGCAAATAATCTTCCTAACTCCCTTGGAAATCTAAAGCACACATTCGAAGCATGTCTTCCAAGGTTCGTATGGTTTGTTCTGATTACTGTCTGTTTATGGATGGAACATGGTACTGAATCTCAATTCTGTTCCCATTGCTCTTCGCAGGCTTTTCCACAATCTCGATACAAATTTCGGATCTCTATCCAACACAACAGATACCGAAACTCCGTGTAAACAAATAATCTCCTCAACGTATATAGTAGCCAATCTATAAGCATCAAATGTAGTTCTAACAGGTAGAAAATGTGCAGACTTAGTCAGTCTATCATCTCTAACCCAAATAGAATTCATACCTCGAGGAGTTCGAGGTAGACCAACAATGAAGTTCATAGTCACATGCTCCCGCTTCCATTCTGGAATAGGGAGAGGTTGAAGTATACTGTCCGATTTCTGGTGTTTAGCTTTAACTTGCTGACATTGAAGACATTTGGACACATGCTCAGCAATTTCTTTCTTCATTTTGGGCCATCAATAGCTTTGCTTCAGATCCCGATACATTTTGTTATTTCCCGGATGCATAGCAAATACTGACTTATAAGCTTCATCTTGAATTCTATTCTTCTGTTCCGGAACATCTGGGACACATATTCGGTCTCGAAATCTCAACACTTCATTTTCAATGCAAAACCCTGCTTTTGGGCTTGTCTCAAATTCATCAATCACTTTCTTGAGGAACTCATCCTCTTTCTGCCTTTGCTGAATTTTAGTAATTATTTCTGGTTCAATTAAAATGGCAGCGACCAACCCGGTTTGTTCATGGGTTACGACTTTAATTTCGGTTCTCTTGAAATCTAGTAAGATTTCTTTCTGTTCAGTAAGCAAGCAAGCTAAATTCCCCGTCGATTTTCTGCTCAAGGCATCAACAGCTGTATTGGCTTTTCCAAGGTGATACTGAATCTGAAGATCATAATCTTTTATTAGTTCAAGCCATTTTCTCTGTCGCATATTTAACTCTTTCTGCGTAAAGAAGTACTTCAAACTTTTGTGATCCGTGTAGACTTCGCACTTTGCCCCATACAAATAATGCCGCCAGATTTTTAAAGAAAATACAACTGCGGCCAATTCTAAGTCATGCGTTGGATAGTTCTTCTCGTATGGCCTCAACTGTCGGGAGGCACAAGCAATTACTTGCCCATTCTGCGTTAACACACAACCCAGACCCTTATAAGATGCATCACTGAAAATTACAAAGTTTTTCGTACCTGTGGGCAATGTCAACACTGGTGCAGTGGTCAGTCTCATTTTCAGTTCATGAAAGGTAGATTCTCTTTCATCATTCCATTCAAACGGTTGCCCTTTGCGTGTCAGTTGGGTAAGAGGTACAGCTATTTTCGAAAATTCTTTCGCAAACCTTCTGTAGTACCCAGCTAAGCCCATGAAACTGCGGACTTCTATTACATTTGTCGGTGTAGGCCAATTCACAATTGCCTCTATCTTCTGTGGGTCCACTGAAATCCCCTTCTTGTTGATAACATGCCCTAAGAAAATAACTTCATCCAACCAAAATTCACATTTCTTTAGTTTGGCAAATAACATCTTTTCTCTAAGTGTTTGCAAAATAGTTCTCAAGTGGTGTTCATGTTCAAGTCTATTCTTTGAATATATCCAGCTATCATCAATAAAAACCACAACAAAATCGTCAAGGTAAGTCTTAAAAATTCGATTCATTAGGTCTATAAATGTTGCAGGAGCATTAGTCACCCCAAATGGCATAACAAGAAATTCATAATGACCATACCTCGTTCTGAATGCGGTTTTCTCAACATCTTCTACCTTTACCTTCAACTAGTGATACCTGGATCTCAAATCAATTTTGGAAAACCCATGTGATCCCTGCAACTAGTCAAACAAGTCATCAATACTATGTAAGGGATATTTATTCTTTATTATCACTTTGTTATGTTCTTGATAGTCAATACACAAGCGTAAGGTTCTGTCTTTCTTTTTCACAAATAACACCGGTGCACCCCATGGCGAAGTACTAGGTCGAATAAACCCTTTGTCAAGTAGGTCTTGTAATTGTTCTTTCAATTCTTTCATTTCAGTAGTAGCCACTCTGTAGGGAGTTTTAGAAATAGGCTGAGTGCCTGGCACAACTTCAATAGTAAACTCGATCTCCCTATCCACTAATTCCCCTGGTAATTCATTTGGAAACACATCTGAAAATTCGCTAATAATAGGGATACTACTCAATTCAACATTCACAATTGGTTCAGATAGCACACAACACAAGTAACCCTGGCACCCTTTCTTGATCAGTTTATATGCTTTCATTGCCGATATCAAGTAAGGTGGAGGCACTATCCCGTTACCCATAAACATAATTTCTTCATGTTCCGGTGGTTTAAATACAACCCGTTTTGTTACACAGTCAATGGTAGCACAATATTTAGTTAACCAATTCATGCCCAAAATTACATCAAAATGTCTAAAGTCCAAGGGTAATGAATCTACATACAGAATAGCATTCTCAACCCGCATATCACAAAATTGATATACAGATGTACACAACACAGATTCCCTGGATGGAACAGATACACATAGCAAATATGGTAATGATTCTAGAGGTCTACTCAGTCTAGATACAAATGCACAAGTTACAAAAGAATGTGTTGATCCAGAGTCAATTAACACAAAAGCATCCTGATTGCATATAGAGATAGTACCTGAGACAACGACTTCTGTGTTCCATGTGTCACCCGGAACAAGCGTGAAGACTTTTCCTTGCCTCACGGTATCTCCAGTGATACTAGGCTTTGTAATATTTCCCAGTTTCGAGAAGAATTCGAAGTGCTTGAGGAGCCCGTATTTTGCTTCTTCAAAAATTTCTTCTTTGAAAAGAAGCCCTGTCTTTTACTACCTTTTCAGTCAATTGTCGATTTGGCATGTCTGGCTATGTTAGCTTCTAATGTTGTGGTCTGGTCCAGCACCTCAATATAGGTTTTCATCTTGAGAACATTCACCTTCTCTAAGATATCATCTCGAAGCCCTCCTTCAAAATGCCTCGCTTTCTTATAGTCGGTATCAACCACATGTGGTGCAAATCTGGCTAACTCAGTGAACTTGGCCTCATACTCAGCTATTGTCATACTGTTTTGTTTAAGTTCCATGAATTCTGACACCTTTCTGTCATGGACGCATTGTGGAAAATATTTGTCGTAGAAAATCTCCAGAAATCGTACCCAACTAATATTTTTGCCCTCACGTATTAACATCCACCATCTTCTTGCCTCATCTTCAAGAGTAAAAGTGGCTAGAAGTACCTTCTGTGTTTCTAAACAAGGAAACACTTCAAACAATTTCTCTATGCTGAGGACCCATGCTTCAACCTTTAGCGGATCCAATCCCCCATGAAACTGTGGTGGTTTCATTTTCTTAAACTTTTTGGTGAGTGTTATTATTCAGTCATCATTCTAAAGGTCTTGTACAGGTGGTATTGGAGGAGGAGACGGAGGATGTGGTTGTTGCCACTGTTGTTGATGCCTTAATGTTTCTGTCATTTCCTGAATCAATCTTTCCATCCTATCCATTCTGGCAGTAGAAGACTCCTTCATTTCATCACCTCTTGTTGTCACCATCTGATTAGACTTGCATTATTCTTTATACAAAAACGTTCACAAGTATGCATATACCCGGAGCATACATATTCAAATAATTCGCAATGCAAGTAAATCACAAACATATAGTTTATAATCATTCATCTTGAAGCATTTAAGCATGTTCTTAATGCTTTCAGATTCATACTTATCGCATGAATGCATCCTAGATCATTTCTACATACTTATTGCTCATTTGGACAAGTGTGTGAGTTATTAACTCGTGCTCTGGTACCACTCTGTCATGACCTGAACCCGCCCCTATGGATTAAAGTCATAACCAACCAGTAATCAAGAGATTACCTACGACCTCAATCTCATTAAAACATAATTCAACAGAGTTAAGGGGCAAACAGAAGCAAACTTAAAAATTTTGTCCATAGAGCTGTGCTTACATGGCACATCATAACATTTCTCATATACTTGTTAATAATCCACATCAAAAGGAAGATAACATAAAATTGTACACAAACAGGATCATTCAAGTCATGGTCAGCCAAACCCAAAAGCTTATGTACATGGTGATCAAACACATTCACCAAGGTAACAACAAAAAAAGGACAAAAGAAGCAAAACAAGTCTCGTGCATGAGACGTTTGGGCTGACACCACAAAACTTTGACTTTCTCAGATACTTCACTGAGGCTGGGTTTGAACATCTCTTTGATCACCTACATACACATGAATAAGAGTGAGCGAAAGCCCAGTGAATAATATCAAATAAAGAAGATACATGAATGGAATTTGAAACAGATATTAGACAGCCTTGGGCCCATTCATATTTCTATCTGCTACGTAAAACGGCTTCAAGCCCAAATAAATCAAACGGCCTCGGGCCAACTTCGTTATTAACAGACGGTGTCGGGCCCAATTCATTCATGTCAAACGGCCTATAGCCCAATCATTCATATCAGACGGCCTTTGGCCTAATCATTTGTGTCAAATGGCCTTTGGCCCAATCATTCATATCAGACAGCCTTTGGCCCAATCATTCATGTCAAACGGCCTTTGGCCCAATCATTCATATCAGACGGCCTTTGGCACAATCATTCATATCAGGCAGCCTTTGGCCCAATCATTCGTGTCAAACGGCCTTTGGCCCCATCATTCATGTCAAACGGCCTTTGGCCCAATCATTCATATCAGACAGCCTTTGGCCCAATCATTCGTGTTAAATGACCTTTGGCCCCATCATTCATGTCAAACGGCCTTTCGCCCAATCATTCATATCAGACAGCTTTTGGCCCAATCATTCGTGTCAAACGGCCTTTGGCCCAATCATTCAGCGTATGAATACTTGTCCATTAATCAAATTAACAAATTATGAAACTCAAATAGGGGTAAGCAATTGGACAAATAACATACTTTAAAATATCTTTACTAAGATATTACTCACAGTGATCTGCCGGATGGTTTGTCCTTGCACTTGACCCTACACATTTCATAAACATAACGGGTCACAAGTGCTTCAATCCGTTCTTAATTTATTTATTTCTCTTAGGCCTCTTTCTTATCCTTTTAGGTCACATACAAAGCTCAATGCATGCCTAAGAGTGCTTAGAAATGGAAGAGAATGGAAAATGAAACACAAAACAACTTCTCAAAATTTCTGAAGCAAGGCTCCCTGCTCGAGAGTAGCTTTGGCCGCTCGAGCGGACCCTTTTGGTATGTAAAAGTACTGGTTACCTTATTTTTACGCTCGAGCGTGGCTTCGGACGCTCGAGCGTGACTCTTCCCACTCGAGCGGACATCAATGTCTGTAAAACTTCTGGGAGCTAACATTTTACGCTCGAGCGGCGCTTTCCCTGCTCGAGCGGACTTGACGAATTCTGGAATCTCCAGAATTGTTCTTGAAGCTCAAACTTGATGTTCAAAGGTTCAAAGTTCGTGTTTTTGGTACAAAGTCATGGAAAAACATTACGTAGCATGAGAATATAAGTTATTTAAGACCAATTGTCCAAATTCATGATCTAATTCTCAAATCAATCAACATTTTTCTTGGTATGGTCAAAGCTCATGTATTCAAACTGCATACAAGCTTCATATCTTCACAAATCTTTCATGCTTGTCAATTATTGACTTCAATCCCACTTTAGATGGCACAAATGATGTTCAGAATCATGGAACCTATTAGAATTATGCATGCATGTATGATTTGGTGTGATATTCTTTATGTTTCCATAATCAACTTCAAATTACAACATGAATCTTTTGAATTGAGTTCCATACCATGGAAATTCTTACATGCATGTAGTATATGACTCTCAAATCAACATGAACCACATGTTTCATGCTCATATATGCAAATTCATAACAATTCCTTACATGCATGTATACATTGACTTCAAATTCATCAAACACAAATTAATTCTTGCTCTTGGGCACAAATCCAGCTAGAATTCATGCAAGGATGAATTTAAACCCATGAAGTTGAGTTCATTTACTCACCTAGGAGCTCAAATACTCCAATTCCTAGCTAGTTCTTAAGCCTAGCCTCCAAATTTCCAAGCTTCTTGTTTAATTCTCCAATTTGTGCTCCATTTCTCTCTACAATCGGCTCACTCTCTCTCTAGAGTGCCTATTTTAGATTTTTTTTGAGCTCCAAGGAAATGAATATAAGTGTAATTAGGCCCCTTATATATGTTTGCCTAATCAAATTTGACTAAGGCTAAATAATTGAGCCTAATTCAATAAGTTAAATCTAATTATTTTGATCCAAATCAATTTTCAATTAAATTTCACCGTAGGCTCTAAAAATTACACTAATCATAATGGCGTAGTCAAATTCGGTTTCTGTGGCCGATAAGGCCTTCAATTTTCAATTTACAATAGTAAGTCCTACAGATTTTCCTACGGTGAACAGATAGAATACAAAAACACACGTAATTATGTAATTACCACTGAAAGCCATATTATGCATATAATCACAATCATAATTAAGATCAATTAGCATAACACGAAATAGGGTTATCACAAAAAAACTGTTACAGGAAGAGATTGTGCTGAAACAGTTAAAGAAGATTCAAGTAGACATATCTATCTGGGGGTTGCTTATGGCTTCATGTGTGCACAGGCAAGTTGTACTGTCAGTGATGGATAAGGCGAAGTTGTCCGTTGACACCACCCCAGAATAACTGTTGGGATTAGTGTTCCTGGGGAGCGCTGCGCCAACTTTGACCTTTTCAGATAAGGAATTGCCACCGGAAGGCTCTGCATACAACAAGCCTCTATACATATCCGTAGAGTGTTGGGAAAAGTGGGTGCCAGTCGTATTAGTTGACACCAGGTTGGCAATCAACATCTGTCCATGCCACACCGCTTATGCTATTGGCTTGAAATCGGTCGATTTTGTAGTTACAGCCCAGGTGATCCGGGCGTATGACAAACAAGCAGAGAGGTGATGGGAACAGTGCAGATCAGAGTGCAGGTTGGACCCGCGCAACAAGATATTTAATTTCAAGTCCTGGATGTTCCAGCCACTTTCAACTTATTGCTTGGGTAACCCTGGCTACACCAAGTAAGAGCTATCTCTTCTACCCTCCACCAAATGTTGAAGTACCCCCCGTGGGAAAGGGGTGGCCATAGTCTTTGGGTATTCTTCTATACATCCTCTGCCGAAAGTTACTACACCTGTGTTGGAGATTGTGCACGACGAGGAGAATGTTTTCATTTTGGGGTTTACCTTGGCTGAGGCCCAAGTAGTGCAGAATATCCCGGATGTCGATGAGGGCTTCTATGTCAGTGCCCAATATGTGTACTTCATGAACAAGTTGCAGCACATGCCCAGAATGGGATTAGGAAAAAGTGGCCGGAAAGGTGTCGCTGTATTGGCCGATGTGCCACATAACCCTCATGCCTTTGGCTTATGCTATATGCCTACCAAAGAGGACTGGGTGAGGAAAGGGAAAGAAATGGCCGGAAGAGCCAGAGCAAAGCAAGGTGGAAAGCACTATAAGCTTGTGCATAGGCCAATTCAGGGAACTCTAAACGCCCACTTTGTCTGGAAGGGGGAAGACTTCCCATTTTGCGGTTTTCTTGAGCCATGGTTGAACTCTGAGAAGCGGCGTCTTCCCGACTTCAAGATTTTTTTTGACTTACAGCTGCAAGAGGGTGAAGCCACAGAGGAACAGATTGAATTAAATGCTAAGGTTGAACAGAGCACGGAAAGTGAGTCCAACGACAGTGAACTTGAGATAGGAGCAGCACTAGCATCTCTCCTTTCGAATCCTCAGATCAACTTGGAGAGCTTGGGGGATGACCTAATCGTTTCCATGATCAGAGACCAATCAGGTGTGGACCCTTCCAGTGGTATCTTGGATGCATCTGACGCACCGTTCCTCACTTGGCAGCTGGAGGAGGGTTTTCTATCTAGTAGTTCTGAGTTGGGTAGTGAGCCAGAATCTGATTCCACAGAGTCTGTAGAGTAGAAATCAGATTCTAGTTCCTCTGAGTCAGAGTCCGGTATTCTTGGGGTTTATAACCCGGATGTCGTGGTTTTGTCCAAGTCGTCTTTTTTCTTTTCTTTTGAGTCGGTTGTAATTGAGGAATTGGATGAGCTGGATCTTTTGAATGATAATACCACTGTAGTTTCTGAGTACTTCTCTGTGCTACTTGTATATTGCACTGATCATGACTTTCAAAATTTTGATGAAAACGACGAGGAAAGAATTCCTCCAGTTTTGAAACATTTAATGGATTGACAGAATGAGAGGTTTGTAAAACCCCTTGTTGATGAAATCATTCCAAATAATGTGGGTACTGAGAAGGATCCGCGTC